TGTGGGGGGATGTGGAGAGTTAGTGGAGGGGAAAATGAAGAACTAACCCCTGATGAGCTATAGACAACTTAAAACAGAAGAGGGCCAGACGGGAAACGGGTTCAGAGGAGGGAAGGAAAAATTAAAGAGTTCCCTATAAAAAGGAAGGAAATCTGGCAAGTGGCTTAAAATGCAAACCTTTGGATGAAAATCCCCCTTTCACACAGCTATTCCCAAGCCGTGTTGGCAACCCCTGACAAACAATGTTGTGAAACACTTTGGGAAAAGTCATAAAGGAAGGAGGTACAGGCCATTTTGCAGATTGTTGTGCGAAAGAAGTTCATTGCCCTCCTGATGGCCTAGTGGCAAAAAAAGAAGGGAAGAAAACCCCGAGAAAAGGACTCGACCCCTAAATTTAAAAGGAAGGGGTTTCCCCCTTCTAAACACTAAACCACTTCCCCTCCCCCCACCCCATCAATCATCCCAGATCTTCAAAAAAGTAGTGTCATGTAATTGTGCATCCCTTTTTCAGTTTTGGGTATTAAAATTAACATTTCTGGGGAAAATTTTTTTTTTTTTTCATATTTTGGGTGTTTTGCAGGATTAATTTGATTTCCATTATTTCTTATGGGGAAAATTTTTTCGCATACCGAACTTTTCGCATAACAAAGAGCCCTTTTGACGGATTAAAACACTTGGGGGGGTCCCTGTTAAAAACGGGACCCCCGGGTTATTTTCAGTGTTCGCACAGAAGTGCGACTACAGTGGCCTCCCTTTGCATCTACACCACCCAAATGCAGAACAGCTTCGCTGGGCAGGCCCTTTTTGCTGCATGCCAGCCCCCGGTGCCAAAGAAACTCTTTTTTTGGCAAAACTGCAGCATGGAAACGCGTTTAAGGGACACCCTTAAGATGCTCTGAAAGTTTTCAACATCAACCACACATTGGGACTGATAGCTCAGGACGGAAGACGGGCGAGCATTTTCCCAGAAAGGGGGCAACACCCTGCGAGGCAAGCAGAATCTCACTAGCTGAGAGCGGGGGCGGCGGGAAGACCAGGGCCATCGACCCCTCGAGCTGCCCCCCTTCCCTGTCCACACTGCCAAAAGAAGTTTCGTGCGCGGATTGGGGCCTGACAGTTCGCATCCCCACCAACTTCGACCCCGGGTGACAGATGGCCCTCTCGAATCGACGGACAAACAACCGTTGGCTGGGCATCATTTAGATTGTGCGCCGTTCGGGGGGATATGATTGGGGTGATAAAGGGAAAAAACAGGAAAAAAAGTGAAATAATTTGCAAAAATTTTTCAAACCAAAAACAGGATTTGCAGCATGGGTTCAAGGGGGAAAGTTTTAGAAAGGATATGGGAAAAAGCACTGCTTTAGAAAATGGGGTTGTGGATGAGGAACACACTCCTTAGTGATTTTTAAAAGTTAAGTGTTTTTTTTTTAAAAATAGGTTAGACAGTCCGAGGGGGGTGTGAGTTGGACCTGATGGCTTAACCAGTGGCGATTTTGTACCTACCTAGCATGGGCCAGTAGGCAGTTGAGTGCTCTTCTTTCTTTAACTGCCACACCACATTGGGTATACAGGTCTCCCTCAACATTCAGTTTTACTTTGTGGGTTCAACATTGGGAAATTTCCCAAAACCGCCAAATCTATTCAGTTTCCCCCCCCTGCGAGTCCCTATACCCTCCACTGCCCCCGCAACTGGACCCACCCCTCCCACCATCATGTGGTGATGTTTTGTTTGTTCATTTTTTGCTATTAAACTGCAGTATAAATAATGAAAACCCCATTATGATGCATATGGAATGGTTTTTTTCCACATAAAAAACGGTGAATGGTTACTTTAAAACCACAGCAAAGAATAAAAATTTCTGCTCTCTAATAATACAATTTAGTAAAATAAAAAAAATATAAAAAAAATACAATATATTGAAAAAGGGAAAGTTGTACAAAATAGGGGAGTGGTTGACACCCCCCGGTCAGTGGGGCTTTGTTTTGTGGAGTAAACATTAGTCTCCCTGCTCAAATAAACATTTCACAAAATTCATTGTGTTTGTACTTGTAGATTGAGTGCGACGGAGTGGTAGAGGCAGGGTTGGGGCGCTTTTGGGCAGCGTTTGTGGCAGTGGTTGGGCAGTTTTTGGGCAGGGGTGAGGCAGCTGTTGAGGCAGCTGTTGGGCAGTGCTTGAGGCAGTGCTGGGGCAGTGAAAGAGGCAGCTGTTGAGGCAGGGGGGCAGTGTTGGGCGCGTTGGGGCAGCTTTTGAGGCCCGATTGAGGAGTTTTGAAGCAGCGATGGGGGGCAGTGGGTGAGGCAGCTGTTGAGGAAGCGATTGAGGCAGCTGTTGAGGCGCTGTTGAGGCAATTTTGAAGCAGCGACTGAGGCAGTGGTGGGAAGGTTTGAGGCATGGTTTTTAAATAACATACATGTTATTAAAAAAATAATACTGTTATTAATATGCTTTTATTTTTTAAAAACATAATGTTATTAAATACCACTGCTCAACCGTAAATTATTGTGAAAGTTTGGAAGAGCAGGGGACTAAGTTCACCCCGCATAAAACAAAGCCAAACACTGACGAGGTCAACCACCCCCTCGTATTTTTGTATATTTTCCTTTTTTCAATTAATCGTATTTTTTATTTTATTTTACTTTTGTTATTTTTAGGTAGCAGAAATTTTTGTTTCTTTGCTGTGTTCAAGATAAACACTGATGTCACCTTTAAATCCCTGTCCAATAGCCTTTCCCAAATATGCGTCATGAATGGGTTTACTTATTTATACTGTGTTTAATGAAAATAATGAACAAACAAAACACTCCCCACATGGTGGTGGGGGGGCTGGCTGCCAGTTCGGGGGTGGGGGAGGGAAAGTGGGACCCCAGTGGTTGGGGAAAAAGTGGTGGGGGCCCTTGGTGGAGCCCCGGGGTATTTAATAACATCATGTTATTAAAGAAAACATGTATTTTTTGTACAATTTACGACTTTTTTCATGTTTTTATATTGTTCATGGTTCAACAAGTTAAGGAAGCGTATTGTATTTATTTTTCCCTAGGGGGGAAAAACTAAAACCCAAAAATGAAATCAAGAAACCCAAAGTATTTTTCCCCTATGCCAAATCAAATCGAGAACAAGTTTTTATTGGGGCCCCCACTTAAACAAGATGGGTCCTACACAGATGACACAAGGAAAGAGTGACTACTCAGTCCCCAAAATGACCAATTTGTAGCAAGCCCCTAACCCAAATAGAGTCGAAGATCAAAATGAATTTTTTTGAAGAGCCAAAAAATTTGATTATCAAGCCCATCCCATTTTCCCGACGCCAAATGACTTCGAAAAGGCGATAAAAGAAAATCCCAGCCTCTGCCCCAGGGCCAATCTGGAACTCTGTGTTATCAAGAAGAAGAACCCCCATCAGGCTTTTCCTCCTAGGAGAGGGAGATGGAACGGGGTCGTCCCACGTTACTAAAAAAACAGACAAGCCCCATCCACAAAGGGGGGGGTAAAGCAACAGCAAGAATACAGACCAATAGCACTAAATCCCTATCATAAAAAACTTTGAAAGGGTCCCAAGAAGCAAAATCCCCCCCATCTAGAAAACCCCCTCAGTTACACAACCCCGGGCAACTGGGTTTAGAACAGGTCCTCCGTCTGTCTCAACTATTTGGGTCACTCGACAAGGGCCTAAATGCACTGAAGACAAAAAAAATGCAGATGTAAAAATATACGCTTTTCAAAGCCTTCGCAAGTGTGACCATGGCTAATAGCGCACAAAAAGCTGCTAAAGGAAAAAACAGGAAAAGTCGGGCGATGGGGTCTAAATTTTCCCCACAACAGAACACGAAGTATCGTCAACAAAAGTAAAGTCCGGGGGCAGCTACGGGGAAAAGCTCTGTTCCCCAAGGCCAGTACTCGCTCCCCTCTTGTTCCTCATCCCATTCCCATAGACAAGATGTCGCCACAGCACCCGGGCTTCCTTTGCAGAGACACCCGAATCTGCATGACAGTGTTTTCCCTTGCAGCATGCAAAGCTCCCGGGGACTCAACCAATCTTTCAGTGGGCTGCAGAAAAAAAATAGAAGTTCAACGATGAAAATTTCAAATTTCGATATGGGAAACAAGGGAAAAAAAAATTTTCAGAGTAAAAACAAAATTTTGGCCACAAAAAAGAGCGAAACACCCAAAGTCAAAGACCCGGGGGGTGTCATGTGGAGGATCTCACCCTTTAAGGACCATTACATTGTATCAATCGATCTGCTAGAAAATGACGGGTGGATAATGAAACCTTCAAAAAAAGGGGGGCCCAAACCTGATGACACTCTTCGGTCACTTTTTCTATTAGGCTGGAATATTTCTGCACACTAAAAGCACCTTTCAAGGCAGGTGAAATTTCCGACCTAGAAAAAGTACAGAGAATTTTCCGGCGCGCATAAGGAGATAAAAAACCTCAATTTTGGAGCGCTTGAGGTTCTAAACCTGTATTCCCGGAAAAAAGGAGGGGGAGTACATGATTATATACACCTGGAAAATCCTAGGGGGACTGTACCGAAAATTGCACACAAAATCACTATACAAACAAAAGACTTGGCATCATGCACCACCCCCCAATGAAAAGCGGGGGTCACTAGCAGTTAAAAAACCAAACAATAAGTGTCGGGGGCCCCAGACGTTCAACTGCCCCCCAGCCACATTAAAAGGGGGTTCCAACAAACCCCCGGGAGTCTTCAAACTGGCACTGGCAAGCACCCAAAGCAGTTCCGGATCGCCCCGGGGTTTGGGGTCGTACTTGGGTTTTCGTGCAGCCAGCAGCAAAAGCCCGGGTTTATCAGGCTCTGATCCCCCGGAGGCCTGGCAAAGACCCCCCGCGGGGCGTTGACCCCCCGGAACCTTTTCCAGGTTTAAAATAATTGGGGGACCAAACTTCACGGTTTTTAAAAATTCGCGAGGCTCTTTATCCCCTAACCCTCGCGAAGTTGAGGGAGATGTATCATATTCTAATAAATTTATTAAACTCACCTGGATTATTTTGTCTTCACCAAGGAAGTTTTGCATGAAAAGAAAGCACCATTAGCCTGGAAAAATAAATTAAGTGATGGTTTTCCCTTGTTTTTATCAATTTAAGTTATTTAAAAAAAATTTTTCAAATCAAAAAATTTTGGGACAAAGTGTGAATATTTAATAGTAATTTTTTAAGGGAAAATTTAAATAAAGTTTACAGCAAACAATGTAGCCCTCATTTTATTTTTATATACCGTATTTTTCATAGATAAACAAAATCAATGCTTACAGTATGAAAAAACTAAAACTGATATGGATAAAAAAGGGGGCATAAAATTTTTAAAAAATTTTAAAGTCAGCAAAGTAAAAAAACAAATGGGGATTTTAAAAAAAAAGTTAAGTGTAAATTTTGGAATCAAAAAATTTTACTGGAAAAACAAAGGAAGGGGTAGAGTTACATAAATGAAATGGCGAGTGTTCTCTTGGTATCAGCCCCAAAACTTGCCACTTCCCCCTTTTTAGTAGGATCACTCTAGGTAATAAGAATGGAGGAACCTGCAGAAGGCCCACTGGCCCTAAAAACAGGTCTTTTCAAAAAACCCCCCTACCCAAAAACTACCCCAAAAATTTTACCCCTGTACCCAAAGGCCCAATAAACCCCCCCTTCCCCTTGTTATTGTTCAATCTCTCTAAGCTACCCCAAAGGGCCCAGCCTCGATTACCCCCTTTAAAAATTTTTCCATGCATCCCAACCTGTTCAAAACCCGTATTACCCATTCCTTTCTAAATTAAATTTGCTGTTTAAACCTTGTGGCTTAGCGCTTCTTTTTTTATTATAATAATAATAAATCTAAATTTACCAACTTAAAATCCATTATTTCTGGTTCTTTCCCGTTTTGACACCCCCGGTACAGGGAACCCCGGCTTTTCGAATTTAATCCTTCCGTGACCTTGTTCTATGTCGATCAATTTTCCCATTTAAAATTTAAAGCAATTAATGTGTTTCCCGCCCTCAGGAGGGTGACAAAATAAAGCTAATTCAACCCAAAAGGGTTAGTTTTATACAATTTATTAATTGCATTAAAAAAATATTAATAACATGAAACATGATATTACTCTGAATAAAAAAATAGGCCCCTAAAATTTCCCAAATGTAGTGACGCCGGCAGCGGGAAAAGCATCCCCCCTTTACTCTCCCACTCCAGTATCTTCCCAGTCCATAAACCCCCCCTAGCTTGTGTTTAAATATGTTTGTGGTGAGGGTTTTCATATATGTAAACCCGGGGTGGCAAAAACAGATTTATGGGTGAAGACTGATCACAATGGTGTGGTGGGCCAGCTGCCTCACTCTCTTTGCTGTGCCTTTATTTTTTCTACCTTTTTCATAGTTCTAATTGCTTCCCGAGCATTTGCGATTGTACTGAATACTGTCTTTTTGGGTTGGGCTTTTGGTAAAAAAGAAATTTTACAACATAAAGAAAAATTATGCTCCCAAGGGGTCTGCTGTGGTCACCAGTGATGCGCCCCTCTTCTATAACCCTTTGGGTTGGCCTGAGATAGCCTGGTTAAAAGTACCTACGCGCCCCAGAGGGTTACCAATTTGATTTTGAAGTTTTTGGCACAAAAATAAAAAAAAAAAAAAAAAAAATGAGAAAGTCTAAAATGAAAAACATTATTTTTACATTATACTGTATTATAATTATTATTTTTTGTAGTACATTTTTTTAAAATTAGTTTTAATACATAGTATTTAAAAATCATTTTGTTATTAATTTGGGAAGGGACACAGACCCAATTCCCAGATCAAGAGCCACCCCCCACGTAAAAATAATAATACAACATAAGGAGAAACTTAAAAAAAGGCTGCCGATTTGACCCACCACACAAAACATTGGTAACCACACAATAATTTTCCCACCTGTCTGAAAATCATGCCTCACTGATAGGGGTTCTTTGCCCCAAATTATATTATATATTAAACACACATTGTAACCTTTGCAAAAAAAATAAATTTTTTTATTTTATTTATTTAAGGGAACCTTCTTGGGGGGGAAGTTCGCTCCTGAAATTTCCTTTCATATCCAGAAGCAAAAAATCGCCCCCCAAAAAGGCAGTTCGTTTTCTGAAAAATTTTCCGGTGGGGCCTGTAAGCCGGGGTTCCACTGTATTTATTAAATCCCCTTTGTTTTGTCAATCATCCATTACACACTTCAATGATTCTTCCCTCATTCTCTTCCCCCCTCTTCATGGGGGCCCTTTGGCGTGGGAAGAGGCTCGGGTCTGGGGAAATTTAGACCTGTCGGTCTTCCTCAAAAACCTAATTACCCCCCATTTCCCCTCCCCTACCCATCCTCCCCTTTTTCCTTTCCCTCCCCCTCCTCACCCCTCCCTTTTGCCCTTCCCTCTTTTTGGCCTTGGGTTTCCCCCACGGGCCCGGGGCTATTTCCTGGGTAGGGGAAAGGACCCCGGGGCCCACCCCATTCGTTGGGTTCTTGGCGGTGGCGTAGTTTGCCGGGAATCGGATTGCCTGGGGATGTCCCGATCCCTCTCCGGTACCCCGGGAGTAGTTTTGGGGTATCTTTCAGGCGAGGGGTGTATCTCTGGAAGCCACCTTCGGTTTCCGGGGGTGGGGGGCCAAAGGGGAGGTATGCTTTGTGGGGATATCCGGGCCGACCTCTTTTTTTGTCCACCGAGGTAGTGGGCAGTTTGGGGAGGTTCACCCCGGGATTGGGTTTCGGGCTTTTGGGGGTAGGGTTGGCAGGGGTTTCCCCATGCTGCATCTGCGTACTAGCGGTGCTGGGGTCCCTTGGGTGGGAGGGAGATTTCCGGCCCTTTATTCCCCTGGGAACTATTCCCCCCCGCTCCCCCCTTTTTTTTTTTATTTTTTTTCTTTTTTTTTTTTTAAAAAAAAAAAAAGCAAAGGAGTAACCTAACCTGGGAAACCCCAACCCTTGAACCCCTCCCCCGGGGCCCCTTCTTGATACGCACCCCATTCTGACCCTGCCTTGTGTTTAACCACTTTCGGACACTCCTGGCCCCCTGTCCCTCTTGTGGGTGTTTCCTCACCCGCTTCAGGTACCGGGGCTTCGACTGACCCCTTCAAATTTGTCTGAACCCCCTCCCTTGCCTAGGCTTCCAGCTTCTCCCTCTAGGGTACAGCAATTTTGTTCCCGCCCATTTCCCGGGGACCAACTCCGGTCCTTTTCCTAAACCCCAACGTAAATCTCCTGAGATGCCCCTTTTTTTCCTTCCCATTTACTCGGAAAACTGACACGTCAAGCACTCCTCTCCACGTCGGGTTTCGGCCCAACAATGGACTAAATTCTTTACTTAAGACCGACTTCTTCTGCCTACCTTTTGACCTATTTTGGGCAAAGCGCCCCCTGGCCATTTTGGGTTTTAGAGATTTTCATTTCACTTCAAAGCGGTACGCGCATTCCTGCCAAATGCTCCCCAACCATGATCTTTCTCTCCTTTCGAAAACGATACTACTCCTATCACTATTGAAAAAATTTTTCCCTTCAATTCTTGTAGGGGTTTACGTCATTCTGCCCCATACTTTGGCCCAAAACAAAATTTTCCGTCATTGGCAATGACATTTTTGAACAGCTGGAACTCCAGGACCCCCAATCCTAATTTTAGAATTTAGGGTCCTTCCCCCCCGGGGGCGGAGACGTTCCCTTTTTGCAATGTGGCTCGTTTAACTTTTGACACCCCGAAAAACCCCATCCTCTGTATATGTCGCAAACATCGGTTACAAGTTCGAAAGGTGATACCTACCCGCAAAAATGTAGAAATTGCGGGCGTTTTGGTACCCAGCGAAATATTGCGATCTAGGGCCCGAATGCCCAGTCTGTGGGCCGCGCCCATTCACACATTTTGCAGTCAACCTCCATTTGCCTTAATTGTAATGAAGCTCACCCTTCGACTCCCCCGTTGCCGGTCTATTTAAAATGAACGTGAAAATCCGTTGCCTCAAAGAGGCAAAAGGTCTCCCTTATGCTAGGGCTTACTCATCTCCGCCCCCAAGGGAGAACCCCGTGTTTTTTATTCTGTTTTTCCCAAAACACCCCCCCACTTCTGGGATCCCTCTTCTGTTTTACCCCTCCCATAGCCATCCGGCATCAAATTCCTTTTTCTGCCCTTTGGGCTCTGACGCCCCGACTACACTCAGTTGTTTCACATCTTCGCGCCCTTTCCCACAAGCCCCAGTTTTTGACAAGCCCCTCTACGACACCTAATACCAATCGCCCCTCTACTTCTCAGAAGCCCAAAAAAATCCAATTGCTCAAATCTTTTTGCCCCCCCCTTTCCCCTTCTTCCACCTCCCCTTTACCTTTCCGTCTCTTCCCTAGTTCTTCCCCCTTCTCTGGTCTTTTACAATTGGGATTCACCCTCCCCCCGTATATGCCTTCCCCCCCCCGTCCCCCCCCAAAGTTTCTCCCTCTCTGCCACCCCCCAGGTTTCTGCCTCTTTGTCCCCCCCCCACCTTCATCTCCAGTCCCCTTACACTTTTCCCCTCCCCCTCTACTTTGTACAGCCCTTACGTCCCAATCTTTACTCACCCTCCTCCTTCTTTTCCCCATATGGTTCCCTACATTTTTTGAATTCAGAAACACTTGAAGCCATTTCAGAATATATTGCAGAGACAAACCTTCAATGGACACTGATTACTTTTTTTCCTTCTCTTCCCCTCTCCCATCTTCACAACCCCATTCTTCGCACCGCTCCTTTCCTTCGCTACTTAAACGTCTTCCAATCCCCCACCGTTGATTTTCTAACCCCTCTAGTCCGTAGGTGTTTTACCTAAGACCCGGGTATTTTCTTCCGCCAACAGGCCTTTTTACAGGGGAAATCCGCGGCCTCGGGGGTAATTGGGGTGAGCTTAGTTTTTGCTTTCCAGGTTTTCCCCTTTTTGGGTGCTTGCTTACAAGAACCAAAATTACACTGGGCTTTTTTCCCCAAACCTATCTCAGGCTATAATTTTTGTTTCTTGGGATCCTTTCTCAGATGGGCCCTTTAATGAAAGTGCCCTTTTCAGCAATGATTTTCCCGTACTGTCAACTATTTGTCC